CCTCAGAAGCTCAGGTCTCACAATTTGGAGGACAGCCATTGGGTGACCCTGCGAAGGTCCGGTCAAGAGTGGCTCCCAAGCTGCAAACTGCAAACGGCCACCATCGGCACGAGTGGGGGGCCGTCCTGCTCGTCAGGTTCCTGCTGGATAGTGCTCGTCAGCACATCATTGCCATCGCGCACTCTGAGCTCCAGGGGCTCCTGCAAAGCCCTGCCGCGGTGTCCCCAGAGTCTTGTCCACCGTCTTTCGTCCGACGCCGAGAAGCTGCTCCAAATTCAGGTTCAGTCCGTGTTCCAACTCAAGGGACCTTGGCACAGGCTTGGATCGAATAGGCAAACATGACCAGCATTGACCAGCCTTACATGGTGGTCTTGTGGTAGGTGGAATGCGGACGTTCTGGAGCTGCGCAGCGGCAGGGAGCTGAGACAGACACTCATTCCAAGCCTGTTCGGCATATGCTCGCCGGATGTGCAGCTGTTGTGACAGGACGGCTGTCTCGCCAGGCCTGGGCGGCTTCCCTCTCTCTCTCCCTCTCTCTCTCTCTCTCTCTCTCTCGCTCTCCCTCTACATCTGCCGCCGCTATATCCAGAGTCAGAAAGCCAGGCTTTCGACCAGATTTGGTTTCTGAAGGCCACAAGCTTCTGCTGCTCATTTGGCTGACTTGCACATGTGGCCAAATTTGAGCAGGCAGAGTCTGCTGACGAACTTGAAGCAGCACGGCTTGAGGAAGTTCCTCAAGCAGAGCTGCACTCCGCAGAAGCCGCGACCTTGGCATGCCAACGTCTCTCAGCAGTCTGCAAAGTCTATGCAGAAGCTCCTTTCAAAGAGATTAGCACTGGACCTGGGGACCCATAGGCGCAGCAAATCCAGGTGGGCTAAGTAGACATCTCTTGCCCAAGATTTCACGAAAGATGGTCAGACGCGCATCTACTTGGCTAAGTCCAGTCAAGTTCCAACACATTTACGCGTTGTGGCGTTATGAACTTTGCAGGACTTAGCTGCACTCAGCTTCTCGTGTGTAAACCCTGATTAAAATGCTAAGGGATTTTGGAAGGCTTTTGACTTGTTGACATGTCTGTAATTTACAGTACGCACCTCAGTCTTAGAGCAGCGGGATCAGGCCGCCAGTTGCACACCTGGTCCAAAACAGCTACGCAACTGGAGGGGAAACATCCATCGGCCATGGATGTGTACCTGCATGAACAGAGTGTCAGCCTTTTTTTGAAAGTCGTTCTGAGTCATTTTTTCAATGTCGGCAAGTTGCCTGATAGTCACGGGGGCAGTCAGATACTTTGAGTACTCATGTCAGGTTTCATACACATAGGAAGTTCTACCTTTTGCACCTGTTGGAAAGGACTCTGGCAATTCTCGGAACGGGAAGCCAATTAGAATCATCGCTTATCTGTTCCAGCGACAGAAAGTAGAGGAAGAAAGAGAGGACTCGGACGAAGCTGCACTGCAGACGAAGACACTGGAAGCTCGGTACAATATTCAGCCAAGAGCAACGGGGAATAAGATAGGGTATTTGCGTGCCCATCTAGCGAAGACCAGGCCTGCCCGCTCTCATTGTTGCTCACGACAAAACAATTGATGGCAGCAAACGCAGGTTGGCGGTGGATGCTAGGAAAATGAATGTTCCAGTAAGTGGACGTACTTATGACCTGAGAGTGGATGCTTTTAAAACTGTGCTTCCGTAAATGGATGTATGGATGGGAGTCACAAGGTTGACTTGGAGACAGTTTGACTGGAATATGAATCGTGTAAAAATATGATTTCCACACGTCTGCATGTACGCATATATGCTATATGCTTACATCTTCGCATCTGTGGTAGATTTTGTTAAACTTGACATGACCTTGAGCTACGCTACGTCAAGCTCACCTAAGTCACTCGCCTAGGCGATTAGTAGATGCACCTTCGGATCGAGGTTCTCCGACGGGATCGCAACACGCTTCTTGACGCAACGCACGCTCCCTGCTGAAGTTTTGTCCTGCGCTTCTTGCGGTCTGCGTTGTGTTGATTTGGGCTTTGCAGCTGTTTTGGTATGATTTGGCACGCTGTCGCCCTTCTCTTCTCAACCTGAATCGTGAATTTGTACCATTCCCAATGTTTGTGGCCGCAGAGGTAGGTCTGAAACGTAAACAAGGCCCTAGAAGGCCTGGAAGCCAAACCCGGCTTCACCAGGTCAGGGTCAATCTGACACCAGGATACACAATGGAAATCTGACTCTAAGATGACGGAGAAAAATAGGTAACCGGGAACAAAGTAAGGTTTTAACTTTCAACAGTGTGTCAGCTGAGGTAAACCTCGGGATGAGATACTTTAGTGTGGCAGGATTCCAGCACTGGACTGATCTTGCTAGAGAACTGACTTCAGTTTGTGCCGTCAGGGTCTGTTGTTGCGCTTACTGTAGCTTTGAGGGTCAGGGTCAAAGCGTTTCATGTGTTGGCATCTCGAGTCAGGTTAGTGATCACTCGCGCTCAGGCGTGCGAATCCAGCTTGAGTGCTTGAATCCGCAGATTGCCAACACTCTGTTTGCAAATCCGCTCCTAGGATGGTGCTCCCATCCGGTGTTCTGACTTTTTCTCTATCCTCCCAAACACATTAGGAGTGGTGAAAGGAGGGTTTCGCTCTTGGATCCACCCGCAGAAAATGCAGGAACCGCTTGCAGCTTCTCTTCCAAGCTCTCAAAGGCACCCCATCATTAGTGTTCCGCTGAACGCCTTCCCCGGCTAGTTTTCCACAGCAAGTCCAGTCCAGGCAGTCCCTGGACTGTATGAGAGTATTCTTGTGCACAAATGATCACAAATGGTTTTCCCTCCAACGGGAAGCTGCATGTCTTGTTTTCTGAGGCCACACGCGCAGACGAAATTATGAGCCAGGCCTGCAGGCATGCCAATGGACCAGGTGGGCACTTGAGCTTTCATCGAGTTTGGGCAAGGAAGGAGATTGCATGTCATGGCTGGACAGGCATGGAGTCAAAAGCAAACCTAGCGGGTGTGGATTGTGCGGGACTTCCTGATGTCCGCTTCCCCTCCTCAAGCGCCACTGTCGTCAGCTACGGCATCCGCACCAGTGCTGCAGAGTCTCCTGCAGAGTTTTGGTGGCAGCTTTATCTTGGATGTCGTGTTTGGAGCTCTGAAGCCCGTGCAGAATCCTTCCAGCGGCTCAGCTGCGCCTATTAAACATGTTCGCGTTGAACTCATGTTCACGTCGAAAGCATAGTTGTTCGTTGTGACGGGCCCACAGGCTCTCACAGCCTTCTAGGCGTTGCACAAAAATTTTCCACAAGTCAAATTGGACCTGGCCAAAAAACCTAAAGTTTTGAGCATTGACAGCCTTGCGCTTCGTATTGATTGGTAACGCTAACGGGTGATACAGTCATGTGTTTCGCCGTAGGCATTCGCCATTGTGCATGTGCTGCATCGGTAAGGTCTGATTCCCTGCCGACAACTTTCGTGAACGATGCTGGTCTTATTGAGGATCTTCGGCTCTTCGATCCCGATTTCTTCGGCATCTCCCAGGAAGAGGCGCAGATGCTGGACCCGCAGCAAGCGCTTCTGTTAGAAGGAGCATACCATGCCATCAGCCAGGCACCCGACCTAGGCAAAGATGTGGGAGTTTGGGTTGGTTGCAGTGCCAGCGAGAACCTGGATTTGGCAGCCAGGGAGTTGCAAAGGCACAAGCCGTCTTTATCAGGACTCTTTGCGGTTGGGAACAACCGCAGTGCAGCTGCAAGCCGGCTGTCATACGTCTTCGATCTGCAGGGGCCAGCCATGTCAATTGACACTGCCTGCAGTTCATCACTCGTAGCCATAGATGTCGCCATTGCAATGTTACGCTGTGGCGATCTTGGCTCGGGCATCGTTGCAGGTGTGAACAGTATTTGCTCGCCAGTACTCATGCAGAGGTATGTTGACATGGGTATGCTTTCCAAATCCGGCTGCTGCCGAACCTTTGACGAGGCAGCGGACGGAATGGTTCGCAGTGAAGGTTGCGGAACACTCGTTTTGAAAGTCAACGCATCTGGCTTGGCCAAGGCTCTCGGGTCAGCCACCAACCAAAACGGGGGCCGAAATATTGGCAGTTCGATGATGCGCGATCCAGAACGCAGCAAACGTATCATGTGGCCAAATGGCAAAGCTCAGCAGATTCTGATTGAGGCAGGACGGAGGCGTGCCGGAATTGCCGCACATGAAGTCTGCCACATGGAAGCCCACGGCACTGGAACAAAGTTGGGCGATCCAACAGAGGCTGCCGCAATTTCTGCAGTTGCAAGCTGTCGCACATTTGTCAGTGCAGGGAAGTCGATCCTTGGACACCATGAGGGTGCTGCAGGCATGATGAGCTTGCTGAAGGTGATAACCTCCTTCAAGCGTGCCTGTGTGCCATCCAATCCGCACCTGCGTACCTTGAACCCTCGCATTGAGGCTGCCAACCTTGAATTCCCCTGCTCTCACTTGTCCCTGCACCCCAGTTCAAAACCCGGACATGATGTGGCGGGCATCAGCAGCTTTGGATTCTCGGGCATGAGCTGGTAATCTTTCAGCTTAGGTTAGAGATGTTAGGCTGTTGGGGTCTGGCCTGTCTGCTTTCAGACGTGCTTCTGGTAGCATCTGTTCTACAGAGCTCCATGAGGCTTCTCCGGCACCAATGCGCATATGCTGGTCAGAGTTGATTCGATCTCGGAAGTCAAGGCGGCGAAGCCATCAATCGTGACTGGGTTGCTGTTAAGGAACTTAATTCAAGTTATTACATTGGGGACTAACCCCTATATACCCATTGTGGTAACTTAATTTAGGTTCCTTAACAGCAACCCAGGTGAACGCACCCTTCATTCTGCCTGTCGCAGCAGCGAGTAGCAACTCACTTCTGAAGCACACCTCGCAGCTGATCCATTGCTGTCAGGCAGCCTGGCGCCCAGTTTCGTTGTGATGTTAGGTAATGCTGGGCGTGCCCCTGCAGTTTTGATTTGACATGTTCAGCGTGAAACTTTCAGTGTTATCATGGTTGCATATGGTTGTGATGTGACAGTGCCTCTCGGAAGCCAAGGCTCCGCTGGAGCGTGTCGAAGCCATTTGCACCTCCTCCGCCATGCAGGCTGGAAGCTTCCCAGGCTGTGTTCCCAGCCAGAGGGTGCTACGAATCGCTCTGGTGGGCAACACGCCTGAAGATCTCGAAGCTGACTTGCACCAGCCACATGAGCTACGCTCTCACGCAGTTTCGGTGGGTGCCGAGTTCAGCTTTCCAGAGCTGAAGCCATTGAGTGGATTGGCAAAGGAGCTCTACGAGCGCAATCATGTTTTCAGAAGTATCCTGAATTCGTGCTCGCAGAAGCTGGAGGCGAGCCTCGGAGGTTTGTCTCTTCGGGACCTACTGTATGGCAGCAAGTCATACGAGCTGTCGGGACATCCTTTGAGCGCGCAAGCTGCTGCTGGAGTCGTGCAGTTTTCCTTGGCCGGGCTCTGGATGAGCTGGGGCATCAAGCCAGTGAGGCTCAGTGGACAGGGCCAAGGTGCATTGGTAGCCCAGGCATTGCAGGGCGTCTACAGTATCGAGGATCTGTGCAGTGCCTCAAGACTGCAGAAGCTGTTGAAACCAGACCCGCCCAACAAGTACGAGACGGGCCATCCAAGTCAGCAAGATATTTGCTTGATACACATGGGTGCAAGGAGTCAAGATGGGATTGACCATGGACTGCCCTGCTTGAGCAGGGGTGGTGGCTTGAAGACACTGGCACGGGCTGTGGCTAGATGGTTTGAGCAAGGTGGGCACGTTCACTGGGACCGGTATGCTGATAGCTTCGGGCGCTGTCCACAACCGGTGTCCCTGCCTCCCTATCCCTTTGAGCGAATGCATGTGGCATCTCTGGTGGCAGATGATGCCCGAGATGCGCGTCAAGCATCCCAAGTTCCAAAAGCAGACAGCAGTGACAGCGTCAGGCACAATCCACAACCTCCATCTCCGCAACCTGCCCTGCACCATGTATTGGCAGTAATTTCAGAAGTGGTGAGTCGAGATCTGGCTGAGCTGGATCCCAAGCACACGGCCGTTGAGAACGGTGCTGACTCCGTCAATATTCCTGAGATACAGAGAAGGTTCCAGCAACAGGGCGTGAAGGTCACTCTAGAGCAGTTGTATTCTGTGCCTTTGAAAGACCTTTTCCAAGCAGGGCCTTCTGCGTGTATTCCGTGCCACCCAGAGGACCAGCACAAGCCATTTCCTTTGACGCCAATACAAGAGGCTTATGCTTGGGGGCGCGAGGTGAGCGGAGTGTCAGCTCATGGCTACCTCGAAGTCGATGCGCCCGCTAGCAACTTCGACTTGGACAACTTCAACGCTGCTTTCCTCCGTCTGATCCGGCATCATCCCATGTTGCGAGTGCGCGTGCTTCCGCTGGATGCTCAGATTGATGGCTTCCAACAGCTGGTTCTGAGTGCCCCCGAGAAGTATGAGTGTGAAGTAATTGACCTGAGGGACATAGGCACTGAGGAGGAATGGGCAACCAAAGAGTTGGAGCTGCGACAGCAGTTCTCACACGAGGTGATTGACCTTCATACCTGGCCGTTGTTTCGAATACGCGTTTCCCGACGCCGTGATTTCAACGGAGGCAGTGACTGGTGGAGGTTGCATTTTTCCTTCGACTCAATGTTACTGGACATGTACAGCTTAAGAAGATTGTTTGCCGAGTGGTATGAAGTCTACACAGCCCCTGGCGCTTGCAAGCCCGACTTGTCCTTGACTTTCCGAGACTGGGTGCTGTGGTCGGAAGATCAAAAGGCAGGCACGGATTACAAGCTAGCAAAAGCATACTGGGAAGGGCGGTATGACACATTGCCGGGAGCCCCGCCATTGAGGCTTCTGCAAAACCCCAGTGATCTGAAGCACTACCGCTTCGAGAGGTGCATGAAGCGAGTTGCAGCTTCGACATGGGCAGCTTTGGGCACAGCTGCAAAGCAAGCAGGCCTTACAAGCACATGTGTCCTCCTTACGCTTTTCGCGAAGGTCCTTGGACTTTTCTCTGAATCACCAGACTCACCAGACTTTCTTGTGAACCTTACCCTCTTTAACAGGGACACCATGCTGCACGAGGAGATAAACAGCATCATCGGAGACTTCACATCCGTCATTCTCCTAGCCGTAGGCACGGCCCGCTTTGGACAGGAGCCCTTTCAGACTTCGGCTCGAGGCGTTCTGGAGCAACTTCGGAGGGACTTGCGCCACAGCCAGTACAACGGCGTCAACGTCCAAAGAGAGCTCATGCGTCGCAACGGTGGTGAGGTTGTTGCGCCAGTGGTGTTCACGAGCTTGCTTTCAATTCCCTTGGCAGATTCAGATGGCGTTGAGTCAGTCGGCCAGCGCTTTGGCAGTACTGTGTTCAGCATCACGCAGACGCCGCAGGTGTGGCTTGATTGCAAGGTCTTTGAGGCAAAAGACAACGAGCTGGTTGTGGAATGGGACTATGCTGGTAATCTGCTTGACAGGACGCTGGTGGAGGCCATGCACGAGAGCTTTTGCTGGTTGGTGGACAGAGTGGCTGAGCCTGCATTCGACTGGCAGAACAAGCCGCTGCCAGACACCCTTGCAGAATCTGGCCTCACAGCCTGGAGATCATTCAACCAGACTGGGCAGTTTTGGACAAGGGACCAGTGCCCAAGCACGCTGGCTCAGTTGCTGCGACGAAAGTTGCAGCGCTCCAGCTCGGAAGTTGCTGTGGTATACACAGAGGAAGACGTGACCATTTCCTGGACCATCCAGGAGCTGCGCAGCCGTGTGCTCAGCCTGGCAGAGCACATCCGTGGCCTTGGCATTGGACGAAATGATCTAGTGGCTGTCCACATGCCTCGGTCAGTCGGTCTGGTGGTCGCGATTTATGGCATCATTGAGGCCTGTGCAGCCTACCTGCCCTTGGATTGTGACCAGCCGCAGCTCCGCAAAGAAGACATGCTGATGGCCAGCAGCAGCAGGCTTTTGATACGGGGTCATCAGACAGTGCTGCACTTCGATGGGCCCACAATTGTACTGGACCCCATGAATCCCAGCGTGGATGCAATGGTGACCGTCTGCAGTGAGGACGCAATTTGTCCTGGGCCCACGGACCTCGCGTATGTCATATACACATCCGGGTCAACTGGGCGCCCGAAAGGTGTGGCCCTGCAACATAGAGCAGTCATGAACCGTTTGGCGTGGATGGATGAGACTTACAGACTGTCAGAGCAGGATATTGTCATGCAGAAGACGCCATGCACTTTCGATGTTTCGGTCTGGGAGTTCTTTTGGCCACTGTTTGGAGGGGCATCGCTTCTTGTGGTGCGGCCTGATGGACATGCTGATCCTCACTATCTGTGGAAACAGATCAAATTGCACAGAGTCACAGTTATGCATTTCGTGCCATCCATGCTGAGGCCTTTCGTCCTACAGAAGCATGATCCCACAGACCTGTCATCCCTCAGGCACATCTTCTGCAGTGGGGAGGCTTTGCCACATGACCTGGTGCAAAAAGCCTATGCTATCCTGCCAGCAGGAACACAGATCCACAACCTCTACGGCCCGACTGAGGCTGCCATTGATGTGACGTTCTGGCCGTGTCCGCGTGATGTCTGCCCCACCTCCATTGGTCGGCCAATCGCAAACATGCAGGTCTTCCTTCTCAAGGATGGCCATTTGTGTCCTCCAGGTGTTCCTGGCGAGTTGCACTTATCAGGTATCGGCCTGGCTCAGGGATACCGACACAACCAGGAACTCTCCGACAAGGCCTTCATCACAAAAATTCCTCAGATTCTTCGGGAGATGGGCGTCAAGCGTATGTACAGGACGGGTGATGTTGGCCGGCTTCGGTGCAACGGGACCATTGAATATCTCGGTCGCTTGGATCGCCAGGTCGGGGACATCCAACTATGGCCCAAGCTTTCAAGCCGAATTTACATGTAAGGACACTGCCATACTTCCATGATGTCAATCAGCGTGTCATGTGAAGTCCATGGACCCTGAGGTGAAAATCAACGGGCAGCGCGTGGAGCTTGGCGAAATTGAGAGTGTGGGTTGCAGCTGCGATTTTGTGGAAGACATTTTTGTCCGGTTGCAGGGTCCCAGTGCCGTTTTGTGCAGCCATCTTCCCTCGTAATCGAAGCTCAAAACGGCTCAGGGCAGAAAGCAAACCGCATTGCCAAAAGCCTCAAGGAGAAGTCGATTCCACGCGGTTTTTCTGCGGATCACTACCTGAAACTGACGGCCAGATCTGGCTGCGACATGCACTTCAAGAGGAGGACCTCGCGGACATTCGGCCGCGCTGGCTCCGAGTTGCCCGGGCAGCTGCTTTCCATGCTTTCAGATGCTCAGCCTTCGATGCACTTCCGCGTTGTGCCCGCAGATCTTCATGGGCATGGCCACAGACTATCTGTCGGCCAAGTCGACATGGAGGCAATCTTGGCCCCATTGTGCCGAACTGAGCTTAAGGTGGCATAGAAGCATAGAACCTGCAGCTGCCACCTAAATTGAATTAAATGCAGCAGTCACCGAGTGCGGCTTGTAGAGTAGTTGTGCCGCCAAGCATTTGCAGTTCCATGCGCTCCGAGGCGGAGACTCGTCGATGAAGACAACGTTGGAAAGTATCTATTCCCATCAGCCGGCAACACTTACTGTGTGCAGACCTTTGTCGCAGCAAACGGTCACGAGCATCTGTACCAGCCGGACGGACACCAACTGCTTCTTGCAAGCCCAACCTCCTGCAGTTCCGGCAACATACTGCGCAGCTCTGGGGTCAAGCTTTGCTGGAAGCATGACCTGCTTTGCGAGCTGTACCCGGAGGAGCTCTACCCTGGGGCTGCCCAGCGATTTGCTGAAATTGAAGCAGGTTGCATGATGGCTCTCGTGCAAGGGGCAGCAAAATGTCAGGGAATGGATGTCGAGGCCATCGTCCACGAGGAGCACGATCAGATCGCCTCTCTCCACTTCGTGTCAAACGAAACACCTGCCACCACTGCTGCGGCTAGTTCAGATCTCCACCTGTACCTGTATCTTCTGAAGTCAGTGAGTGGGATGGCTGCTGGACTGTACGAATGGATAGGCGGCCGCCTGCAGGTTGTCGACTGGGCCTCGAACGAGGTGATCTGGAAATTGCAACAGCCAGATGCTGCGTCCATTATGTACACGGCAACCTTCTTGCTGCTCTGCTTTGGTGCCAAGACCCGAGCATCCCATCTGCAGGCTGGGTTGATGCTTCAGCACCTCACCTTGTCGGCAGTTGACTCTCTCGCATTGTGCCCTTTGGGCCGCGTGGCCTTGCCGCACGACTTCCCAGCACCAACAGCTTGCGAGCTGATTGTGGCATTGGCAGGAGGTGCATTGTCCGGTTCATCTGCGGAGCCACGGCGTTGGGGAGACCTTCTTAAGGACCACTTCCTCGAGCACCTGCCGGTCCACATGGTGCCGCGCGACATTGTCTTCATTCCAAAGATGCCGCTGACTGCTTCGGGAAAGCGCGATGCCAAGCAACTGCCAGAACTGACTCGGGAGGCTCCCTGTGAAGAGGCTGACTTGACTGCAGATGAGCAGAGGCTGGCCGACGTGTGGTTTGACCTCCTTGGGACTCGACCATCGAGACGGAGCAGCTTCTTCCAACTTGGCGGTGACTCGCGAAAAGCCCGCCAGCTCCGCCACAAGTTGCAGGAGAAGTTCGGAGTGCGGTTATCTATTCCCGATTTGTACAAGGCGAGCTCTCTTGAAGAAATGATGCAGGCCATTCGGACCAACTCTGCGGAAGCACGAATACCAGCCTCGATGCCACGCAAATGCAAGGCAACTTTCGGCCAGCTCGGAATGTACCAAGCTGTCCGCTTCATGCCCGAGCACTGTCAGGCATACCACATCTACGTTGAGTTGCCTCTGTGTGGTGACTTGAATTCTCTGCGCCTACAAGAGGCTTTGGCAAAGGTTGAGGGTTGCCATCCCATGCTATCCACCATCTTCAAAGAATCCGAGACTTCTGAGCTTCTCATGGTCCCCTGCCAACATCGTCTCCACTTGACTCACGTTGACTTGCGAGCATCCAGCGAAGCCGAATGCCAGCAGATCTCCATAGAGGAAGTCACCCAGCGTCTTATCCAGAAACCTTTTGATCTCGCACACGGACCGCTGTGGCGAGCGAGCCTCATTCAGCGCACGGATCGTGAGCGTGTTCTTGCCTTGGTCTTTCATCATATCATCGCAGATGGGGAGTCCATCGATCTGATAGTCAATGACCTGGCATTGGCATACAACGGTGGACAGCTGACGCCTCCTGCAAGCACCTTTGCCCAATTTGCGGCAAATCATGAGGCCACCTTGGAGAAGGCCACGGAGAAGCTTGCATTTTGGCATCGTGAGCTCGTCGGGTTGCAGAGGACGGAAATCCCCGCTGATGCCGATCGTAGCAAATGCCATGGTCGCTCCGGTGGTCGTGTCAGTCGAGATATATTGCAGACCGAAGTCAGCAAGATCAGCTCTAGCCGCCAAAATCCAGCGGCAATATTGCGGAGCGCGTGGTGTTGGCTTTTGCATCGCGCATGCCAGCAGGAGGACATTGTCACAGCAATAGCTGCGAGTCATCGATACGATGGCTGTGAAGACAATGATCGTGTTGTTGGCTTGTTTGTGAACATGCTTCCAATGCGGTCCAGATACAACAGTCAGATGAGCTACGATCGCTTCATCAGCAGCGTTGAAGACTTTCGATCAGCATCCTTTCAGAACCAACTCCCCTTTACGTACCTGTTAGAGAAGCTAGATCCTGGTACAGTGTGCAGGGATTCACAAGGCCGCCAACCGCTGTCGCAGACGCTGCTGATTCTGCTCGAACTTGGTTCAAGCACCGACGAGCTCCACTTCGATGGTTTGGAAAGCATTCCGCGTCTGGTGGCGCGCGGTGTGGACACTAGCTACACGAGTGTGGAAAGCCTTGCAAAGTATGATCTCACGTTGCGGGTTGACATGCTTCCTACCCATTGGCGCCTTAGCTTTGATTTTGCTTCCCTGCTGAATCGCGACAGAGTCGAGAAGTTGGCTGATGAGTTTCTTGAGCTGGTGCACATCCTGACGAAGGCCCCTCCGTAGGATAGGGGCAAGAGCTGCAAGATGTTGTCACGATTACGTGCAGAGTAGTCGATGAGCTCTTGTCACATACAGGACGGAGCGAATACCGAAGGCATTTCTTCGGAAGAACAGGACGCGTGCTCAGCAAAGAATGCGACAGAGTCAGCACGGTGCGGTATCTCCCATCCTTCAGAAGTGAAACAGGCACGGGGTAGGTACGCAATTCTTAATCAATATTTTGCAGGTTTTCAAGGCGAGGTGTGGGGAGTGGCACGGCTTCTCAGATGAACAGGATGGACAGGAGGCCATTGCGAACGCCACAGAGACCTGCATGGTCTCCGAGTCTGTGAAGGCAGGGGCCGTCACATTTTTGGGAATATGGCGCAGAGATTCAGAAGTGCAGGGTTTCAGCTTGGGTTGGCCCCAACAAAAACTAGGAGATAGCTGGTTAGACTGCCAAGGTGTGCGACCCTCCTTCGCAGGCACTGCGACAGGAATGCCTCTCTGATTGGCTTCTGGCATCCCTGGGGCCAAGGCAGCATTCCTCGAAGCCTTGAGTGTCTTTGTAGGTCTACGTAGTCAAGTACCACTTGCGCTGCTTTTGGCAAGGCCCAACATCATCATTCGTCAGGGAGACCACAAAGTCAGCATGAGGCTCGCCCGCAGCTGGGCCCAGTCGCTGGCGTGCCAGCTATTGAGGTTTGCAGGGCAGACTGAGACCATGGTGGCGCTATATGTGGAACGCTCCCCTTGCTTGATCATTGCCATCATCGCGTGTTTGCTCGCAGGCCAATAGTTGCAAGTTTTTTGCCAACAGAGACTTTCAACACGCAACCCTGGTTACGAGCTTTGAGTATGACAGTGTGCAGGTGTGCCGTTTGTCCCGCTGGATGTGTTGGCGACGCCGCCGGAGCGAGCCAGAACAATACTGGAGGACTCCGGGGCTCGAGTTCTCCTGACGAGCTCAGGAGAGATGCCAGAGTGGTGTAGGGCAATGTTGGGACTGCAAATTCTCTCAGTTGATGCCTTCTGCAGTGCAGACTCCTCAGCTGGCGCAACGGTACCCAGCATGTGTAATGATGACACGCGCTTGGCCTATTTGATGTACACATCGGGATCCACTGGTCAGCCAAAAGGCAATTTGATAGCAGAAGTGAAATCTTTTTTACATGGTCCAGTTAGTTGTCGGTGAGATAGGTCAAGTGGCCTCTGATTCTGTGTAATTTATTCTCCTGTGTGAGGTGTCGAGATTTGCCGTAGCAGCCTGCTCAGCTTCCTGAAGACGGCTCTTGATTTTCCAGAGTGGGCATGCATCCAGAAACTGGTGTGGTACTCCGCCACTAGCCCAGCCTTTGACATCTCCTTGTTCGAGTTTATTGCCCCAATCCTACTAGGAGGAGAACTTGTGCTTGCGTCTGAAGAGGCTCCAGGACCAAAAGCTTGATTTTTCCACCAGTGCTTCTTTGCCTGTTCATCGTAGCACCCCTCGTGCCCCAAAGTCTCCTCGAGCCCTTTTTGTGAGAGGCACGACGTGGTGGTGACATCATGTTGCAGGAGATTGAGATGGCTGACGCTTCCGTTGTTCAGCTGACACCAAGTGGCTGGCAGTTGCTGCCATCAGGCATGTACGGTCGCCTTCGGCGAAGCGATTTCCTTGCTCTCTGTGGTGGCGAGGCAATGCCCATGAAGCTGGCGGAACGCTTCAGCGGTGGCAAAGTTCTCAACCTGTACGGGCCAACCGAGACCACTATTTGGGCTACCGTATCCCGGCTTCATGAAGCGACCGGTCCGGAAGTTGAGAGGAACATTGGCAGTCCCATGGCCCATGTGAATGCGATTGTGACGACCGTTGATCATCCGGATGGATCCGCTGTTGCAGACAGCGTTGGCGAACTGCACTTAGGCGGCCCAGCTGTGGCCAGGGGCTACCGCAATCTGCCAGAGATTCCGGGCTGCTGTTAGGGAAGGAATTTAAATTAAGTTACCATAATGGGTATATATATATATATAGAGTGAGTTATAAACAGGGTTTCCCCAATATGGTAATTCAAATAAAGTTCCTTAACAACAACCCAGGATTACCTCTCAGAAGTTCTGGCGCTGCACGCAGCCTGGCCAAGAAGGGCTGAGGATGTATGCCACTGGGGATCTCGTGAAAAAGTCGAAGGATGAGAGAGACTTCATCTTCATTGGCCGCAGGGACTCCCAAGTCAAGCTTTCGGGCCACCGCGTGGAGCTCGGAGAGGTTGAAGCATGCCTGGAAAGCCACCCATGTGTGGTACAATGCGTGGTCGTATTGCATGAGGAAATTTCGCTGGTCGCATTTCTGGTTCCAAGGGATCATGCGAACCAGAGTGGCAGCTTGGAAGCCGAACTGCGCATGTTCGCATGCCAGAGGCTGGAAGGCCACAAGATTCCCTCAAAGTTTGTTTTCCAGGAAGCTCTTCCTCTAACCGCGAGTGGCAAAGTCGACCGAAAGCAACTGCAGTCCGGTCTCAGCAAGGCGCCAGAGGGAGAAACAGGCCATGCAACATCCGTGGATGGCATTGCAGAAGATGTCCGAGCTGTTCTGGCTTCTGTCTTGGAGGAAGAAATAGATGTGGATACAGACTTCATCAAGCATGGCCTCGTTTCTCGTCTCATCATGCAGGCACATGCTCGCCTTCAGCAGCGCTTCCCTGAACTAAAAGTCAGCGATTTCTTCGACTACAGGACTTGCGCACAGCTTGCTAGCGAGCTTGCACGGCGTGAGCCTCCTCAACCGGGTCCTCTTCCAGGTGGTCTCCATTGCCTGCAGACGCCTTCACCAACGCAGAGAGGCTGTGTTACTGGTTTGGCCGTGCGAGCTGGGATGTCCCCAGACTTGGCAACATTCTGGCAGAATCTGACTGACGGCAAGGATTGCATCACAGAGTTCACACCGGAACAGTTGCGTGCCATGGGTGTTCCAGAGGACGAGTACAGTCTGACGAACTATGTTAGCTGCAAAGGCGTGATTGAGGACTTCGCTTGCTTTGATTTTGGTTACTTTAGGATGTCGTCGCAAGATGCCCAAGAGCTCAGCCCATTGCATAGATGCTTCATGGAAAGCTCTGTGCATGCTCTTGAAGACGGTGGCGAGGTCCACTTGCGACCCGCTGGACGAACAGCGGTGGTGGCTGGCATGGGTGACCACGGATACCTAGCTGGAAGCTTCACATCCGCTGAGTCCTTGAGGATTCAGCTTGCCACCAGCAAGGACTTTCTTGCAAACCGCGTGGCTTACGCGCTCAACTTCTCAGGGCCAGCCTTGAATATCCAGACAGCTTGTTCCACTGGCTTGGTTGCAGTTGTCCAGGCCATGAACCTCCTATTAACAGGACACTGCGAGCAGGCTTTGGCCGGGGCGGTATCCTTGTCTCCACTGACTCCGGGGTACGTTGCCGGCGATGGCTTGCAGTTTTCTCCGCTTGGAGGCAGAAGCCGCTGCCGCGCGTTCTCGCGCGACGCGGATGGAATCGTTGTGGGCACCTTGGCTTTGTTGACCTCATGGAAGGATTGTAGGGGGTATTTGGGTCTCTTCATGTTTGGGGTGGGCACCTCTTCGCTACTACAATTTGGTATGTTGAAGTACTGCCGGGTACCTTTCAAACTTCTTGGACGACTTCAGGTCAAGGAGTGGGTGCAGTGCTGCTGACACAGCATGACCCCGCCGGCTTGGCACGCTCTACTCTTGAAGGAGCTGCTGTAAATAATGATGGCAATACCAAAGGCGTTTTTCAACATCCCTGCCGGAAAGCGCAGACATCTCTTGTTGTCGATGCTCTCCGCAAGGCTAATTGCGATCCAACATACATAGCTATGGTTGAGTGCCATGGCACGGGGACGAGGCTTGGAGATCCTATTGAGGTTGAAGCTCTATCCACCGCCTTCCGCACTTGTGGTTTGAAGGTGCTTGGAAGGTGCGCAATTGGTTCTGTGAAGAGCAACATTGGCCACACTGGTGCAGCATCCGGCATAATGGGACTTGCGAAAGCATGCATGTCTATGGCTGAGAAGAAGATTCCAAAAACCTTGCACTGCCAACATCTGAACCCCAACATTGATTTCAGCAGCTCTCCCTTCATAGTGGCGCAGGCAGCCCGTCCACTCGAAGGCAATCCCGAAGAGCTACGTGCAGGCGTCAGTTCATTCGGTTTGGGTGGTACCAACGCCCATGTGGTGATCAAGCGAGCAGCAATCTCTCCAGCAACCAAGCCTAGGCCTTTGACTCGATTCAAGCGCAGTGTCTTCCGGCATCCCAATGCCAACCAGGATATGATCCAGCCTGGTCATGGTTATCCTGCAACATCCTCCCATCATCCAGTTTTGGGAAACATGCTCTGGCTAAACGGAAGCAAGCTTCACAAATGCCGGCTTTCCAGAGATGACAGCAGAGTGTCATTTGTTTGGGACCATGCGGTTCATGGAGCCGCTGTGCTCCCTGCGGCCGCGTATGTTGAGCTTTTCCTGGAAATTGGCCAGAGGCAAGGCTTGGAACATGTTTGCCTGCAAGATGTTGCCTTTGAACATCCGCTGAAGCTGGGAGAGTCTGAATGTTCCTTTCTCCTGCGAATTGCCGATCAGAAGGATGGCTTCATGGTGCAGGCGACAGCCATAGATGAAGCGATTGTCTATGCACGTGCCACCGTGAAGGATGCAGCTGCAGACAGCATATCACTCGGCCATGAGAACGGCCAGCAGGTGGACGTTTCGGCAATCTACATGAATGCCAGCTATGGTCCAAGCTTCCAAACAGTACTGAACCTCGAGGTCGGCTCACGTACAGCGTTCGCAAGACTTGGTAATCCGAATGGGCAGGCTTTCCGCTCTGATTTTCACGTTGACCCTGCTATGCTGGACGGAGCAGTTCAGGTCATGCTGAGCAAGCTGCAGTTGTCCTCCCGCTTAGATGGAGAAATATGGCCTCAAGGCATCAAGTCAGTCTTCCTGCACTGCACCGCGTCGCAGCCGCTAGACACAGCCTCGGTAAATGCAGTCTGGGATGGCGATGATGGATTGCGAGCCTCATGCAAGATCTTCAGCGGCGGCGAGCCCATTCTGGAGCTGCAAGGCTTGACGTTCGCCAAGCACAAAGAAGTTCAGAGTGATGGGCTGGTGCTTCAGCTATTATGGGAACAGAAGGCGCTTCTAGCGGCCGCTTCAGGCTCTTCCTTTGGCAGGGACGCGAATGCCTTGGCCTTTGTGCGCCAGAACGAACCCAGCTCACAGCTGCTCGCGGAGATGCAGAAGGCAATGCCGGAGACCGGCATCACCACTGTGTATCCAGGACAGGGTGAAGCCAGCATCGTACCACAGGATGAGAAGGCTTACGAGCTACAGTTGGAAAAGTTGAGCAGCCAACAGCCCATGTTCGTGATGTACTTGTGGGGCCTGGATTGCGATGTTCACCCAGATGCGAGACTAGCAGAGTCTTGCCTGGGTTTCATTTTCCTGGTAAAAGCACTGGTCAAACAAAAGCGGCCAGTCAAACGACTGCTTGTGGTTACAGCTGGCGCTGCTAAAGTGACAACCCCAGACCATGTCACACCATCACAGTCGACCTTCGTTGGGCTTTGCCGCGCTGTGCAAATGGAGTGCCCTGAGCTTGGGTTGCTGCATGTCGATGTTTCGACAAAAATGTTTGAGCAGGGCGACATGAGCAACATGGCTCGTGCCTTGCTGGATGAAGCGCAGGGTCAGGGGCAATCCGAGCTAGGAGTTTCCCTCCGTGAGGCTCGCTATGCCTGGAGACCTGCCTTGATGCAACTGCCAAGTCTGGTAAGCCATGAGAAGATCGGAGTTTTCGGTGGCAGCTACTTGATCACGGGTGGGCTAGGTGGCTTGGGACAGGAAATTGCTGCCTGGCTGTGTGAGCATGGCGTGTCAAAGCTTGTGTTGACAGGCCGTAGCCTCAAGCCCCTCATCCAGAAAATGAGCAACAAGCAAGCTGACATCAGCATTTGCATGGGTGATGTTTCGCAGAAAATGCATGTGAAGAGCATTTTCCAAAGCCACGGGCAGACCCTGACTGGCATTGTTCACGCCGCCGGCGTGCTTCGTGATGGGCGCATCGTGGATGTTATACAAGCGCACTTCGATGATGTCATGAAGCCCAAAGTCTTAGCTGCACATCTACTTCATGTTGAGTCGGACCGTCTTCAGTTAAAGGACTTTGTGCTAATGTCTTCCACTTCAGCGACGATGGGCTCCTTCGGCCAGGTGCTCTATGCTGGGGCAAATAGCTATTTGGATGGGCTTGCAGGATTCCGCCACGACAAGGGCCTATGTGCTCTGAGTTTGAATTGGGGTCCATGGGCCGAGGTTGGAATGGCTGCTGAGTTGCCGCCCCCCGCAGGAGTGCATCAATTGAAGGTTCAGACTGCCTGCGACATCCTGGGCCAGGCGCGGACCTAACGGTGTTGTCTTTTGAGTGGGCTGCGCATGGAGAGTATGTAGAGAGCGCTAAAGAGCCCCAAAGGTACTGCAACAACGCAACCGCATCTACCACCTCCAGGTGGCACATATAGATTGGCACATGTTCCTGTCAAGCAATGGTGCTGCTGGGTGGCTTGAACACCTGCGCTCGGAACAGAGCGAGGATGACTTGCGCCAGGACCGTTTGCCACACATCGTATCTCTGCACTTCCCCCAAGTTACATTGACATCTCACCCCTCCGTTTGCCAAATGGTTGAAGCTGCTTAAAGCTCTGCACTGAGAGGACCTCCCGCGTCTTGACAGAGACGATTTGACAGCCTTCCTGGTGGAGTGCATTCAGGACCTGTCTGTTATCGATGCTGTGGACATGTCATTGAGCTTTGTGGAGCTGGGTCTGGATTCTCTTGGCCTGGCCGAGATTGCCCGGAAGCTATCAAGCAAGACACACAGGAGCCTGAGTGTGGCCAAGCTCTTTGAACACTTAACGATCGAAAAGCTGGTAAGGTATCTTTTCGAAGACTCTGCTGACATCACAGGTGACGGTGGACCATCCTGGCCCCAACCAAGCTTAACAGCCAACTTGCCAGACTCGGAATGTGCTGTGCGCGGCGTGGCGATGGAATACCCTCGTGGAATTGAGGATATGCAGGCGCTTCAGGATTTCCTTTCAGCAGGTGGGGATGGGGTCCACGAGGTTCCAGCCGAACGCTGGGATGTCGAGGCATACTTTGCAGATGAAGTGTCCCCTGGCCGCATGTATACGCGACACGGAGCCTTTCTGGGACGAGATCCTTACACCTTCGACGAGGCCTATTTTGGTCTCAATCCGAGGGTAGTGAAGGTCATGGACCCGCAGCAGCGGCTGAGCCTTGAAACAGCTGCACAAGCTAAGCACAACTCGCGTCCTGTCAGTGATACCCACGACACGGGTGTGTTTATGGGTGTCATGACGAGGGACTTTGCAGACGAGCTGTGCAAGTACCAGGCGCAGAGTAGAGCAAACAGTTGGAAACTGTGCATGCTTCTGTCAATTCGGATTCTTGCCCTGCGAGGCGCCTCACGACATGTACGCTGGGACCGGCAACTGCTTCAGCGTGTTGGCTGGAAGGATTGCGGACCGAATGGACTTTCGAGGTCCGAGCATGGCGATCGCCACTGCTTGCTCATCCTCCTTGGTTGCTGTAGACTTGGCAACTCTGAACATGTCCAAGAGCCGGTGCACTACTGCCCTTGCGGGGGGCGTGAACCTGATGCTGGCTCCCGATGTTTTCATCAACTGCTGCCAGGCAAAGATGCTCTCTCGTTTTGGGCGGTGCCTCAGCTTTGACAAAGCCGCTGATGGATACGTCCGGGGTGAGGGCTGCGGCATCCTTTACCTTATGCGAAGTGGCACGGAAGCAGGCATTTGCACGGTGCCAGGATCCGGCGTGAATCATGATGGTGAGAGCAATGGGCTCACGGTGCCAAATCCTGCAGCACAAGCGCGTGTAGTGCAGCAGTCTCTGTTGGCCTCAGATCTCCAGCCAGCAGGTGTGGATATTGTGGAGGCACATGGGACGGGCACTGCGCTGGGTGATCCCGTGGAGATTCAAGGTTTGCAGAAGATCTTCCAGGGGAGGTCTAGTTCTCCTCTACTTGCAAGCACCTTGGATCAAGCCATGTCAGTTTCTAGTAGTTTGGTGTCAGGCCGCCAGGGAAGGAAGGAGCCAGCATTCGTCAAGACGGAATGTTTGTTTGTGTCCAGGAGTTGCGACACTGTGAACAGAACTCAGGTACTGCAAAGAGCACCTTTGGACACATTGAAGCAGGGGCAGGCGCACTGGGTCTTCACCGGGCCATCCTGTGCATGTCTGCAGACACGGTCTTCTCAAACATTTGGCTTCGCCATCTCAATCCCAAGATTGAGGCCGGGTTTGATGGAAGGCATGTTGTGCTTGCGCTTTTCCTTGGCAGCGCAAGAACTGCGCACCAATACTGTGAGCACACCCCCTGCAGGAGCAGCAGACTGGCTCTTGGCTTCAGATCGTGGGCTCTGCTTCCCAGCTCAAGAGGAAGGCGCACGTTGCTGGTGTGAGTAGCTTTGGCTTCAGCGGAACCAATGCCCACGTGAACCTGGTCTGTGCGCAGAAGGGGCACACCTGGAGAGAGGTTACCGGGGAGCGCTTGGCATTCAAACGAAAAGACCATCCATGGGCTTTTGGTGACAAGATACAGTCCGTCAACCTGCCTGACCTGGACAATGGCATCAACAACACAGTCACACTAGACCCAAATATGGCCTTTTCCCTCCAATGGAAGGCAGCTGAGATGCGGAAGCCTGAAGGGCAGAATGGGCAGGTTCTACTTGTCTGCAACTACGAAGACAGGTTTCGGCTCGGCAGCTCACATGGCCATCAAGCTTGTTGGGGTTGCCCAAGCGAACTCTCAGATGATGAAGGCGATGTACTGGCGCTTTCGCCTCAGACGTCGGAAGGTTTTCAGCAGCTTGCAACCATCGTGAATGGTGACACGGAGATCATTCTGCTTGCGCCGACAGGAGAAGGGCTCGTGCAAGACCGCAGATCAGACACGGCTCTTGCCTGCTGCCTGAAGCTCCTGCAGGCATTGATGGACGCAAACCGGAAGCCGCGTGTGTTGGTTGTCACTTGTGGCGCCGAGCTGGTCCCAGGTGTGAATCACGAGGTGAACCTTGCTCATGCACCACTTCTTGGCTTCACAAGAGCTGCTGGCGTGGAATACGAAGGCTGGTTGACCTTCAGAGGTTGCATTTAAACATGTTAAAACAAACACATTGCGTCTGGAGATTGCCTAGACCAGAGCCGAAGCATCACTTGACCACTTCTACCAATTACCTCTTAAGCTACTGAGGGCCTTGATAGATTTGGAACTGCGTGAGGCCGGCTACAGCTGTTGGACGTGCTCCCTGCCGACCTGAATGACGTGTTTGCAATCGCCCCCAATTGCGTTTGGCCACGACAAGCCTGGCGGGAGAAGCAACTCTTCCAGCATGTCCTTGTTGGCCTTGAAGGTGCACAAAGCTCGGAACAGTCTTCCCACAAGCCTTCATCAGTGAAATCACAAGTCCCCCGAACCCTTGTTGGCAGCACCTTTGTGGTCACTGGTGGTCTGGGCGCTCTTGGCTTTGAGGCTGTTCGATGGCTGGCTGAGGCCGGTGTGGCGCGGATTGTTTTGTTGGCTCGTTCGGAAGCAACTGCCGAGCGGAGGGAGGCAATTCAGCATCTGCAGCACAGGACGCAGGCAGAGATCAAGCTGTGCCGCTGTGACGTCAACAGACTTTCTGATCTGAGGGCCACCTTGCATTCCTTGAAGACTGGACTGGGCAAGGTGGATGGTGTGGTGCATGCTGCTGGAAAAGCAGCGATGAAACGTTTACGTGAGTTGACGATTGAGGACCTTCAAGATGCACTTCAGAACGGTGGGTCCCTTGGTGCATGGAATTTGCATGAAGCGCTGCAAGGATGGAACATTCAACATTTCCTAATGTTCTCGTCTTCAGCGATGGTCCTGCCCATGGAAGGTCAGGCTAGCTATGCAGCTGGAAAAGCTGGTATGGACCAACTGGCTCAGCTTCGAATGCAGCGCAAACTGGCCGCCACTGTCATAGACTTTGGTCTGTGGGAGGAGGTTGGGGTTGGAAGGCACGGCTTTGGCCAGCGATTGACACCAGGGATGGGCAGCTTGAGCAACGATACCGCTTTGAGGGTCCTGAGCTTCAGTTTGGAAAAGAGGCATGCGCCTTGCCTTAAATTCTGTCATAAGGTCCATACAAGAATCAGAGCTGTTGAGAAGTGTATTGAAACGCTGTTGAAGCATGTTTGCCCCAGATGTGTGAGACGGCTCAGCTGAGGTGCAGATCCTAGCTATGCCCATTGATTGGCATAAGTTGTGGCCACATTTGGACGAAAGCTTGCGCAGCTTGGCCTTCGCGTTTTGCCCTCGTAAAGACAAGGACAAGGCTAAGACTGAAGCTGACGCGGGCAACTCTCATGGAAGCGTTCTTGCTGCTGCCCGAGCCGTCCTCGCTGAAGTTCTCCATCTTGGCCAGAATGTGGACGACGACGCCGAATTCACATCCCTAGGCGCGGACAGCCTCAGCATGGCAGAGTTCACGAACAAGCTGAACGAACTGTTGGGGGGAAGTCTTCCTGCAGCACTCAAGATCGAGCCTGCGGCTTAAGGAGCTGACTTGTGCAGTACTTGTTACTGCAAACAACGGAGGGTGTAGACAGTAGATGTTGAATGTTTGCTCTTGTTTGCTCCTCAAAGGTCTGTGATGAGCAGCGGAACCATCAGTCGCCTTGTCAAGCATATAACAGGCCAGGTGCAGCAGCGTTCAGTTCTGGTCTGAAAGTCTTGCTTGCCGCAATTCTAGCTGGTGGCTGGACAGCATTCCTGATGAGCAGATGTTGTTACCAGCTCCAGGTTCTCTCAGAGGGCTGGGCACTTGATTCTTGCCAGGTGTTGAGGCGTCAAACTCCACGGACCCTGTGGGTTACATGCAGATGCAGCTCCGCGAAAGATCAACCATCAAAATCTTGCGACAAGGAGCCGGGGCGCAGACTCCACAGTTTCCTTGCTAGCTGCACTGATGCCGTGCTTTTTGCTAGGTCAGGGGAGAGGAGAGCCTGACAGTCTCCGAATGCTAACTGCAGGAAATGATGAGGAGATGCGCAAGCGGCCCGTTATTTTCGCGCACAGCATCATGGGAAATTCATTTCTTTACCAGGCTTTGGCTGGATGTCTTGCTGGCGAGCATGTGGTTGCCATCGATGATCCCAACTTCAGAAATCCAGATGATCACTTTAAATCGCTGGAGGACATGGCTTCTCACTACACGGATCTTATCATGCAGAATTTCGAGGGGCCCTACCAGGCACGGCCAATCCTATATCAGTGAGGAGATGCTAGTTGGCAAATGACTTTTACTTGAGGGTATTCTTTTACTATAGAAGCATGAGCCCTCACCTTCACGGTTCGCACTGCCTAGCAAGCCCAGGAAGCTTTTTTGAGTGCATGTGGCCGATGCTGGCTCGGTGTCTGCATGCCATGGGCAGACGTGAGACTTGTCCAACACAACGAACATGGCTGAGACTCCTTGCTACCACCTGAAGCCGACCTCATTTCGCCTGTGAAGACATTTTCTAATGCTTTTGGACCGTCGCGCCAAAAAGCCAGCGTTAGCAACAATCGCACCAGAAGACCACCAATGAAAGATTGATGAGACATCAAAACCCAGAGCAGCGAGCTGCCAGACATGCCAGCCCTTAGTGAAGGGGTAATTTCACAAGCTGAGTCACCGAAGGTGAACAAAGACATTTGACACTGCTGGTACCTTTGGCTTGGCTGCCCTTGTTCGCTGCGCAGAGGTGGAAAGAATTGGTCACACACGGTGTAGGGCGGACCTCAACCTTGAGATTGATGGCCATCTTAGTTTTCCGGGAACAGATTTCCTGCCATGCGCTCCTGCCAGAAGACATACCTCAGTATCAACACTCACAGTTTGATGACCCTGCTTGTTGGGCATGTCGTGATCCCAGACGTTACCCAAAAGCGGTGCAGGCAACTCCTCAGCAGCTGGAATTTGCGCTGAACTTCCAAAAGTCATGATCAATCGCATTAGCCGTGAGTCTTCCGAAACGACACCCAAGCCGCACTGCAGGAACGCTCACGTATCACAGACTGGTGGGCACACGTGAAGATTGCAGCCTCGCACCATGGTAGCCCGCCACTTATGCGACTGCGTGGCAGGTCTTTCTCCCGTTCTCTCTCTCGGTCGATTCTGGTGTGTTTCTCCGCGTCTCTCTGTGTTTCTCCGTGTCTCTCTGTCTCTCTTGCATGCTCTTTTTCACAGGGTCACGCTCCTTCTCCAGCTCTCTCACTCTCTCACTCTCTCTCTGTCTCTCTCTCTCTCTCTCTGTCCATCTCTCTATGCTAATCTTGCCTTCGTCTTTGCCTAGTGACTTGCCCGTAAAAAAAACACGCACGCACACACCACAGCCTCACGTGGGATCGCTGAGAGATGTACTTGAAATTCCAGAGTCGGAGTCATCCGGGTGGTTTCCCATGTCCCGTCAACCTCCATCAGCTACTTCATGCTACTTCATGGTTTCATGGTTCACGAGCATCATGGCAAACACAAGCGGAAGCTTCAAGTTTTCCGTCGTTGACTGTGCGAGGTTGCAGGCCTGTCATTTGGCGGAGTTCTGGCATTCGAGGTCGGCCAGCAGTTGGCTCAACGTGGCCAAGCTGCCGCGGTGGTGATGCTTGACTCCGCGTGCCCCAGACCAGGTCACCTGAAGCTACCTGACGCTCAAACCGTGCCGCAGGAGCACGTAATGGGCAAGTTGGAGCCCAAGATAAATGACCTTTACTGGGAAGAGCTCCGGAACAATGAACGGATCCTCAACGCCTACCAGCCACAACATCCGAAGGATGGCCTTCGGTTGGTACTCCTGAAAGCACGAGGCCTCGATGGCACAAGCAAGACGCTGGCAGGCCTGGAAGACTTGCAAAACGGATGGGGCTGGATGAGCCCAAAGCTTGAAATGCTCAGCGTCCCAGGCTCCCACTTCACCATGTGTGAGCCCGGGTATGCTCGTTGTACAGCCGCAGCAATGCAGTTTGTCCTGCGTTCAGAGAAGCGACTCCTCCTATCCGATATGGACCTTTGGTTCCATGCAGTTCGCCACGGGGACCGTTTCTTCTATTGCCGTCTGCTCAGAGAGCAGTCCCTGCAGACGTCTCAGAGATGGATCTCCGCCGACGACGACGAAGGCCTCACAGCACTGCACTTGGCAGCGCAGAACGACGACGTCTTCCTCATCAAAATGCTGTTGGGGAAAGGTGCAGATCCAGGAAAACGCAGCAGCGCTGGTGAGTTGCCGCATGACACAGCTCGCGTGGCTGAGAGCTTTCAAAGCTTCAGCTTTTTGAATCAGGTAAGCTCCTCCGAAGACTTGGACCATCTGCTGAACGACAACAAGAAGCAGTTGGAGATCTTTGCCCCTCCGCTCACAGGTGTTGAATTGCGCGGCCATACCTGGCTTCGCACACTGCGTGACTTGAACGAGTCTGCAGCAGACATTGTGGAGCCGGCTGCTGATTCTACTGGCAGTCAAGCACCGCCAATGGCCCAGCAGATGCGCTGGTTGCAGTCACGCAGGCAAGGTCAAACGGATTCGGATGCGCAGGCCAGCAGCTACATGGCATCGCATCATGCAGTGAAGGAGGTGTTAATCTAGGAGAGACTCTGGGAGTTCTAGTCACAGCAGCTCAGCTATACACGTCAGGCATGATGTTCGCCCGTCTCTCGTTGAGGGGCTGCTTGCCTACAAGTTGGTCGCGTGCGTCTTATTCTGTGACCTCGGTGTTCGTAAGGTCTATGCCAGTGATGTCGACCGTCACGCGCACCCGCCTAGAGAAGGCATTCCTGGGGGTGATTTCATGTGGGATTCTTGCGCGCGGTGACTATGGCTTGCAGGCCTGTAAGTTCTGAGTGCCTGTGGAACTCATGCCAGGCTTCAATCCAGTCTATGTCTAGAGAAATGATCAGCTGTCCGGCCATCATTTGAGAGGACATGAGATCCCCTGAGTTGCCTGCTGAATTTTGAAGTAGCCCGACCGCGCCTGGGTTCCTTCGGCTGCCAAGCATCGAACATGCCGTGGTCAAGCCCTGCACAAAGGCGGTGTGCCCCACGGGAGTTCGTGTGTTAGGGCTTCAAGGTCGCAGACAGATTATCCGTCTTTGCTAAATGTGGCCCGGGAACCCGCGCGGTTCGACAATTTAGCTTGCAAGCAATTAAACTCGTGGAAGCCTTGCCGGTATCAGTATGGGACAGTAGCTAGCAGCCAGCACCATGAAGCCACAGGTAAAGCTGCTGTGCTATTAGAAAAGCGGGCTGGCTTGCCTCGAGATGATTGTGGGACATGGGGTGTGAGTTGTACGCGTGCGTCCTACGGGATGACTTGTAGCGCCGCATGCAACAAACGTAATGCGGAAACAAGCCTGGGCAAGTCCAGCTTCATGCCAGGCCTGCCGCAGCATACAACCGCCCATTGACAGGCAACAACGCTCCAAGCAACAACCCAGCAAGAGGTGGAAGGCATGGTGCTCGCAACTCAATTTGTGCCTCAGGCGCGCAATTGTTTAATGCATGCCAGCATGGTTCGTCGCACAATGTGACAGCAAACCATACGCAGCAGTGTGACCCTCAGCCCTCAGCAGCCGTGCTGCCGGTAGCAGCGCTGAACCCCAACCATGCGCTCCAAGTGAATGATGTTGCGGGTTTGGGTCACTCTCTAAATTCAAATTTCCTTTTCCGAGAACACTGTACAGAGAAGTTGCTCCTACAAAAAGGAGCTAACTGACAGAAGCCTGCCCAGTCCTGAGAGGCTGAAGAAAATCAGTATGGCCGCCCGTGTCTAGAGGATCCACCTTCTATGCTCTTTGTAGGAAGGGGGTAAAAGTCCGCAGGCGGGGGCGCATGTACTCCGAATGAGGTCCGCCATGTGCCTGTGCTAGGTAAAAGTTGTTTCAAGCATTTTGGCTCCCCAGCGGTTGAAAGTTGATTAGCCTGCTCAGTGCGCCTTCGCGCACATCTGGCAATTGGTGGTTCGGCAGATTGTTGAGTCCAAGATGCTAAGGCGCGGATCTTGGAATTCAGTCCATTTCATGTTTGCAGAAGACTTCGGATTGCTCACTGCAACTTGGCCATGTAGAGCCCTGCACGCCGCATGCTCCAGGCCTGCTGACTACAGCACAGAGGTGGAGTCCACCTGGCAGGTGGAGTCCGCTTAAGACTCCAAACATGGAACTCACGCTTGAGGTATGCACGGCATGTCCCTGGGATCTATACAAGAAATGCTGAGGAAGGATATCCTGGAAGCAGTGGCGGTGCGAACATGCGTAGCCGGCATAACTCTTTGCATCTCTTTGCCATGATGCGTCATGAAGGCGGCGGGTCTCTCTGCTGGACAAGGGAACGTGTGGCCCTTAGCCCGAGAGGTCGGCACACAGCCCAGAGTGCCAGCCAAGTGGGCGAGTGCAAATTACTCTTTGCACGTCACCTCTCAGATTGATGCCTGCTTCGGCCAGTCAGGATGCCCTGAAGGACAGAGATGTGGACAAGAAGGCCAGGGAAAGTCAAGCGCATGTGGGCAGCCATGCTGCGGGTGACTGCGCTGCTGAGGTGGCTTTTGCCGACAGTGTCAGACATGAAGCCCCGTCCGCGTTTCCAAGTTGCTTCCTGAGCGGAGCGCAGGCCTGGCAGCCAGGGCAAGTCTTCGTTTGCAAGAGCACATCTTGCCGGCCAGGGGGGCGCGCCTCTTTTTAACCTACCGTCGGAGCGCTGCAGGCAGGATGGGCTCCTGAAGAAAGACGGAGACCACGTGGACCTGTTTTAGAGCCTCGTGTAGCGGTATATTCGGAAACTGATGGCTGTCGTTGCAGCTGCAGTTTGGAGTCGGAGAATCTGTGTCCAACAAGAACATTAGCCCACCTGCTCACAATAGCAGAAGGATTTGGATCATACAGCCGTCCCCGTATGTGCGCCATAACATTCACCAGCTCCAGGCTTCGTAAGGAAGCCGCACAACTCCGGAGCACAGGGCTGCAGGCTGCAGAGCACCACTGAAGCGAAGTGCAGCAGGTAGAAATCATTTGTTACTGCACGGGCCGAATCGCGGCAAAGAGGAGTGGTTTGACCCGGCAGCAACGTAGTGATGTGCCAATTATGGAGCACGAAGTCTCAGCACAATTGCAACACAAACGAGACGCACAGACCTTCAACTCCTGACTTGCAAGGCCTCCGAGCCCGCCAGGGCCTTGGAAGGTTTCGCAGAACCAGTTGCAGCTATCGCAAGAACTTGTTGAGGCCACAGGGAAGACCTGCAGGCTGCCGTGCCGGGGCTCCCAACGGGCTCATGCTCGCTATGGTGACGCAGGCGTCCGACTATGTCCGTCTTGGTGCGAGCAGTAGAAGC